CGGACTACGACCGCTCTCTCACCAAGTCATTTGAGGTGGCGCAGAAAAAGACTAGACCAGGGAAAGGTGTTGCACAACTCGGACAACAATCGCAACAATCAGTCCCCCCTCTTGTCGTTCGTAATGAATATGGTTCGAACTTAGACTTAGACGTCAATTTTGAGGAGCTGGCTCGGTTTTACGAGGAAACTGGTTTGGACCTTGCCCAAGTGCTCACTGAAGGACCATCTGCTCCAAAAGTGGATCCTTGGAAGAAATTTGAACGTGGAAAGAGTCTATACAACCCTGAGGCCTTAGGTGAATTGGGTACGCAAATGTACCTGCTAAACAAGTGGTACATGGCGGCGTGTGAACGGGGAGAGGCCTTTGTTACTGTCAGAGTTAGAAACCAACATTACTTCCATGGCGATGACGTTATATATGTCGAGTTTGAAGAATTACACCAACTATGCCACCTGGACTCTCTTGACAAAAGTCTCATTAGCTGCTATTGTCTGTAAGTATGATTATTTTCTACTATTAAAGTGTGTATATATAAAGCTACATGTATATATATACATTATATATCCTCCCACTATATTTTTATATATGCAGATATGAGATGACAGAACTCAGAAAGAGAAAGGATAATGATGTTGGTTTCGTTGATCCAAATGTCGTATTCAAACACCCTAATCCCCCGCCTCAATGGAAAGCTGAACTCGAGAAAAATCTCATGAGGTTCTTAGTGAACCAACAAAACAAGGACATACTCTTCCCCTACAACTTCAAGTGAGTGTTAAATAATTCATGTCGATCATATGAACATTTGTTCAATTATTTGCTTACTAGCTAAGCCATCTCCCATATATATATATATATATATATATATATATATATATATATATATATATATATATATATATATATATATATATATATATATATATATATATATATATGTTGACTCTAGTTAATGTCGATCATATTTGTGTATAAAAACATATGCAGCAATCACTGGATATTGATGGTCATCGATATGGCCAATAGTCGGTTGAGAATCTTAGACTCGTTAAGAAAAGAGCAAACAGAGTACCAAGACATGATAGATATTATCCAAGGGTAATATGGTCTCTCTAGCAACTATATATACCCGATCTCTTAAATGCAACAATTATTAAAGACCAAATTAATGTTTTATCTTATTAGGCGCAGTGTTTGGAAAAGTTTCATTGAGAATCACCACATGAAATATTGCAAAGCGCTACTAGATGTAATCGCACACAAAGTAAGTACTATCTACATTTATATATATATAATTCAATTAACACCATGCATGCTTTCAATTCACCGGATCTTTCGTAAAAGTGGGTTCTGAGGCAAGAACAAGGGAACAACTACTGCGGATACTATGTTGGCGAGTTTATCGGGGCGTACACAAAAAGAACTTCTGAAGAGATACTCAAAGTATGTTATATAAATATATTCATATATTCACAATTTCTTTTGTTGCTCATATATATAAGTAATCAAGTGACCAACACACATATATATATATATATTAATACTTTTCCTTTAACTTTTATTAAAGACTCTATGGTTGAAGGAAAAAGTCATACGACGTGACCAAATAAAAGCAATTCAAGAGACCATAGCAGGATTTCTTAATGACCAGGTCCTCAACCCCGCCGGCGAGTTCTACAATGACGTCAACGAAACATGGAATCCAAACTAGATGGAGTGATTTTGTTATCCCAAGGATATGATAGAATATACAATGCAACATTTATTTGTAATATATATATATACACACACATACATATTATATATACATAAAATAACGTACAATATATGTATATGCATGTAATATATACGTTAGTTTCATACTTTAGTTTGTACAAAATGTTCGAACATTATAAACGTGTAGAATACGTATATTATTAGCAGCGTAGAATGCGTATTCGAAAACCTATTCGAAAACCAAAACGAATCATCAATTGAAAATAGAAACAAAAAAAGAAAAAAAAGGAAATCTTTAGTCCCGGTTGGTAATACGAACCAGGACTAAAGGGCCGCCCCACGTGGCCAGGCCGGGAGGGGACCTTTAGTCACGATTTCGTACTCCCGGTTCCAAAACCGGGACTGAAGGCGGTTGAGAACCGGGAGTACAGCTCGTTTCTTCACTAGTGTTACTAGCAAATATGTCCGTGCGTTTCAATGGGAGAAAAAAAAATGTCAACTGTTAATGGGAAATAACGACAGGAATGATACATTTCTATTTATGTTTTATCATTTCTCTAAAATTTAAAATCCATAATTAATTTTATGAGAACCATGACATCCTTAATATAAATTAATATCGCAACTTTATTTTTTAAACTATGCATGTGTTGCTAAGGTTAAAAATCAAGCTCTCTAAAACTTTCTTTATGGATCCATAAAAATATATAATTCTAATCTATGATTAAAGTCAGACAAGAAATTACTTGCAGGCGTACGTGTCCAAGAATTGGTTTGTCCGATGAAGATTATGAAAGGAGGCGTCTTTGGATTTTCCATACGACAGACCTTATCAAGGATTTCATAGATACATTTATTTATACTGAATTTAGTTCATGGTTTAATTAGTCGGACCATCGACTAATCTATATTTTTAATAAGATAAAGTTTTAACTTATAATCAAAACTACGTCATCAATTTGGCATTGTAAATCTTTATTTTTTTAACAAAGGTCAATGGTTCAGAGATCTATAATTTGTTTGTAATCAAAACATAATCATCAATTGGATGGTGTAAATGTTTTTTTAAAGAATGGTCAACGGTTCAAAAAACTATAATACTATATTTATTATTTTTTACATTTAGTTATACAAAAATTGAGCGCAACAAAAAGTCACGTAATCAAAGAGTGACAAAAAAGTCGGAAACAAATCAGAATTCAGAAACAAAGAATAAAAAAATAAAAAACAAAACAAATCTAGAACTCCAGAACAACCGTGCGGAGCGGACATGTCCAGAACTCGGAAACAATCAAGCGGAGAGCGAACGACCAATCAGAAAGCTGAGCACAACAACAATAAAAGAAAATAAATCGACTCGATTAAGGAAACAAATCAAACTCTAGAACTACTGAATGCGGCGCGAGCAGAGAATGAGCGCTATATGTTGGACGAATTAGGGCTAGATTTGGAATTTTTCTTCTATCCGATTTGGAGCGGTGTGGATTCCTTGTTTCCTTCTCATCCTTTCGGTTCTGTTTATTTTCTTTCCTTTGTACTTCAATTCCTGCTGAACTTGAACTCCATGAAGGGGGCGACTATGACTCCATGAGGCAGACAGAGTCCAGTCCTGATGAGAAGAGGCTTCACACAACAGCCAAGACCGCAAAGTGAGGGACTATATCTAGAGAGGAGAGATGATAGTTTGCACATTCAAGTACTCCCTCCGTTCTAAATTATACTTTTTTGGTACATCATTTGCTATGCACCTAGATATAATAATATATTTAGATACATAGCAAAATATATGAACCAAAAAAATCAAAGCGACTTATAATTTAGAACAGAGGGAGTAGTTTGTTAGGGAGGGCCAAACCGAAAATAATGGGACCGAAAAAAATGCTGAAATTTTACCTCTTTATTATTAGGTATAGATATAAATATAGATATAGATATTATATAACAACAACTGGGTCCCTCTTGGCCCAGCCCGTCCAAGCCCAGCCCCGAGTCCAGCCCGTCTGCTCTGCTCCGGTAATCCGTCGGAGACGGCGTCGCGAGCAGTAGACGCTCACTACTCCTCCCCCTCCTCCCCAATCCCATTTCGTCGTCCTTTGTGGCAAAGAGCATCATTCGGCGGTGTTGCACACTACGTGAAAAACGGTTTGTAGCAACGGGATAAATTTTTTTTAGGGGCGGCTGGTAATAGAGCCGCCCCTACAGTGGCGTGCTCGGAAGCCTAGAGACTAACCGCCCCTACAAATGGAACAGCAGGGGCGGCTCACTCACCAGCCGCCCCTACAAATATGTCTGATTTATAGGGGCGGCTCACTCACCAGCCGCCCCTGGTGTTTCTATTTGTAGGGGCGGCTCAATCACCAACCGCCCCTACAAATAACTCTGACTATATATTCCAAAGCACAGTCGAAAAATATCTTCAGAGCCGCGGCCAGGGCGACTCTTCCCCTCCCCTCTCTTTCTCTCCTCTACGCTCTCTCCCCCTCCCGACGCCACCAGGATCTTCCCCGATGCTCCCTCCCTCTCTCCCGCCGGTGCTCAATCCCTCCATCTCTCCCGGCGCTCCCTCTCTGTGGTGGGGCGGCCACTCCCTCTAAGGCAGCAGGCAAGCCGCTCCCTCCCCTGAGCATGAGCGGCGACAACCCCCGATGACATTCCTAGGTCTAGGCGAGTGGATCCATCGGTGGTGAGCTCAGGGCGACCGGATCTGTCGATAGCGAGCTTGGGGCGGCCGGATTCGTCGATGGGTGAGCTCGGGGCGGCCGGATCCGTCAGCGGCAAGCTCGGGGTGGCCAGATCCGTCGACCGGCTCGATGGTGGCGGCTCCCAGCGACGGCAAATCCTGGTTGTGTTGAGATGATCAGGATCAGGTGATAAGCCCATTAGTGGCTCAGGTAAGCATAAGTCGCATCAAGCTTCTCTCTGTAGTTGGCGAGCATAAGTGATCTGAAAACTGATTTTGTACTATGGTTTCCAGATATTAAATCTTTTTAGCTTTAGATTGCAGTTAAATATTAATTGCTATAGTCTTCTACATTATGAAGGGTTACTTCATGAAAAGGAAAATAAGTTATATTCCTTTACAATGTACTGTGCATGATTCATAAATTATATTTCACATTAGATGTCTTTTGTAGCTCTGGTTCTTTCTTTGTTAGGATTATCTGTTTCATGTTCTTGTTTGCCTAATTCAGTTTTCTGTTGTCTATGTGTGGCTTCCTCAACAATTAACATTAGATGTCTTTTGTTTAAGAAATGGTTAATAAGATTATCTAGGATTCGTGATGAAGAACTACCTACATCTGCAGATTAATGACCGCTATGAGTTTCCTCTTCAACTTGATCTTGATAGAGACAATGGAAAATATCTTTCTCCAGATGCAGATCGAAGTATTAGAAACCTCTATACGCTTCACAGGTAATTTATTTGTCATATACTGTTCCAATTCTTTGAATGGTATATAGGTGCAACAGCTATAATGGAGAAATCTAATTCATGTATATAGAAATGTGAAATTCCAACCAGTGTAGCACTTTTCCTTTAAGTTTCAGTTACTTTTTTCTAGACGCTGATCTCTGGTTCATGTAATACAGAAGAACCTGAGTGTAGAAATTGGCCAATAAATTGAATGTATGCAACATTATCCTTTTGCCCTACATAGTGAAGCTGTGTTGGAAAATGTGCAAATTTAAAGAAAATTGTTGTCTTCTTTGTTCTGACAGTTTATTTCACATTATTCATGTATTCTTGACAGCATGCATACAGAAATGATCCATTTTTTCTATGCTGATGTTGCCTGTCTTTTTTCATTCAGTGTTCTTGTTCATAGTGGGGGAGTACATGGTGGTCACTACTATGCTTTCATTTGGCCGACACTCTCGGATCAGTGGTGTGTTTCCATCTTATGAGTTTCAGTTCATGCTGGTAGATGTGTCTTCTGGTAGTTTGCCTTAATAATTTTCTGTCGTGCACCATTATTTTGATTGTGGCCCAGCATTTTAAGCTTAAGACATATTTGTGATTCTTAAAATGCTCCATGCTGCTGTTACCTTGGAATAATTTGTGGGAAGATAACCTCCCAATTAGACTTGATGTCTCTCTTATATATACAACATATGGGCCAATATGGGCCTAGAATGGATGGGCGTGATATATATGTAACAGCTGCATGATATTGAACTGAGTATTGTATATATTTCACAGTAATATCTTATTTAACCAGATGGCATATGGAATCACTTTCTTTGCTTATGCACAGCACATTGTCATCCAGTTACTATATCTTTGAAAATGTTTTACAGATGCCATCTCTATGAATTTTTCTGGTTGGTTTTCAGGTACAAATTCGATGATGAGCGGGTTACAAAAGAAGACACTAAAAAGGCACTTGAAGAGCAGTATGGGGGTGAGGAAGAGGTAACATTCTTTATAACAAATGTTCATTCAGTACAATGCAGTTACTTGTGGACTTCTATTAACTTTCTTCTTATTTCTTCTTTGTATGGAACAGTTGCCTCAAATAAACCCTGGTTTCAATAACACACCATTCAAATTCACAAAGTATTCGAACGCCTATATGCTTGTCTATATACGTGAGAGTGACAAGGAGAAAATAATGTGTAATGTCGATGAGAAGGATATTGCTGAGCATTTGCGTGTAAGTAGTTCTTGTATACTTTCCACCTTTTCTTTGTATCATCTTAGTATTTTCGTTGAAGATAGTGATTGATTGAACCGTTCTTATACAGATAAGGTTGAAGAAAGAACAAGAAGAGAGAGCACAAGAAGAAGGAGAAGGCTGAAGCTCATCTCTACACTATCATAAAGGTCTGGCCTTGTTTCAGTCATACCAGCAGCTAACTTCTCTCTTGGTGACTCCTCTTGATAGACTCACATGCTCAGATTCTAGTTAGACTAGAAATGTCCTAATGAGTAGCTCTTTACATATATGCAGACTCACATGAGGACGCAGGACGATGACCTGCCAGAATGCCTAATGGTACGCTTCTCCTCTTCTTTTTCCTATTTTGTTTTTAGAAAGACACTGGATGCCATGAATCATGATTCATGCATGCTACAGCTTGTGGGAGCTCCATCTTGCACGCCTTAAATGAGGAAAACGAAAGTCAAGGCATGCCATTAACAATTATCCTGTTTGATATTGCTCATAGATCTTTTTGGTGTCCTGGGCATAACTACATGTGTGTATATCGCTAAGATAAACTCATCTAATCAGTCGTCTCTTAGGATGTCATGTATCTAGTATAAACTTGATGGATTTACACCTCATCTGAATGCAGTGCCTGTTATTTTCTGATGAATGATAGTTGTCACATGCAGTAATTTATTGATCTTCTTTTTCTTTTGTTACTTGAGATGACCAAATAGCAATTGAGATGGTTGTCTTCTGAATTATAGAGATCAGAGAGAAGTAGAACAGATGAGTTCTCATTCGATCTATATTTGCATGGTTGTCTTCTGATTTATATTTGTAAATTTAATTTTTTTTTGTGGAAAAATGATTTGTAGGGGCGGTTGGTACTGTAGCCGCCCCTACAAATCGATTTGTAGGGGCGGCTGGTGTTCCCAGACCGCCCCTATAAATCGATTTGTAGGGGCGGCTACAGTACCAACCGCCCCTACAAATCGATTTATAGGGGCCGCCTCTACAAATCGATTTGTAGGGGCGGTCTGGGAACCGCCCCTACAAATACATGATTTGTAGAGACCCTTGCGTAGGGGCGGCTGGGCAAACCGCCCCTACAAATGGTCTACGACCGCCCCTAAAAATCCTTTTTGACGTAGTGGCAGTCACTGTTGAGGAAGAAGACGCCAGGCCATCGGCCTCGCTGCGCCACCGGCCGCAGGAGGTGACTGCTCGCGCCCCGCCGCGACATTGGCCGCAGGAGGCGCCTGTCCGCGCCAGCGGCGGACGGAGCTCTGGCGCTTGCTCCTGTCCTCCAATTCGTTGGCTGGAACCATCCCGCCGTGGATTGGGGAGCTCGCGCGGCTCCGAGTTCTGGAACTGTCCGAGAACAGGCTCACCGATGGCGTGCCACCGGAGCTCCTCCATTGTAGGGTCCTGGTCCGGATGGATCTCAGTGGCATCTTGCTCCACGGCTGGCTGCCCTCAGGCCTCGCGGAGCTCAAGAACCTGAAATTTCTCTCGTTGTCCGGCAACAATTTCAGTGGTGGGATACCTTCCGGTTTGGGCTAGCTGAGATCACTGTAATTTCTTAATCTGTCCAACAATTCTCTATCAGAGGAGGTTCCTATAAGTTGATCTTGTGGCAGTGCGAAATCACACTGTTTTACTGCTTGACAACAACAAACTATCTGGGGAGGAGGAGATAATTGCTGCTACCGGTGACGAGTCAAACTATGGAAATGTAAATCAATAACAATATCTGTACTAGTAGTCCACCAGAAACACTGATTTGTTCTTCTCATTGTGTACTAGAAAATATCTTGATATATCCATAGGAACAATCCTGTCCTATGTATGATAATCATTAATCTTCAATAATTCATGTTGCAACATATAAAAGTTAGCAGCCGTAAAAGTATGGGAACAAGCCACTTCAATCTCATTGTGTCTTGTTACAGGCACCAGCAGCAACTGTTAAGCTCTGCAATCATAATCAGCCTCAGTTTCACGAACCCGCTATACACAGTTCTCATAGTGCTCAACCAAGTCAAGTAATGACATATATATGTCCAGGTGCCTGTGAAGACTTGAATTGAGTCTTTCACTTCTCTGGTTACTTCTCATACCCAGGAAAAACTTGTCATATTGAAAAGCAGCAGCCCATAGTTTCCCATTCTTGTACATCATTGCAAGCCAATCTCTATTTGTTGCAGTCTGGTACTAGGAAAGAAAGGCATTCCATTTAGCTTTCAAACGTTTCTGAACTAGCATAATAAAAAAGTGAGGAACCCATCCAAGCAGTCGCTATGCAAATGCTTCAAAATATTTTTCTCCACATGACATGAACAGATGCAATGACTTACACCAGGAAGCACTTGCCGAATAGCTTTAATCATGGACTAGTCGCCATCAGTAATTACTGGCTGTGGTTTCTCTGACACATTGCTTTTAGAAATGCTTGGAGCACCCATACATACGAATCAGCGCACTCATCACAAATGATGCCACAACCAAAAACCGTTGTGTTGCAGTGATGGTTGAGCCCAACCCCGAATGGGACAAATGGCATCTTATACCTGTTCATCCGATAAGTGCTGTCAAAGACGACCACGTCAGCAAATGATTGGTAGTTCATACGAGAATAAGTATCGCACCAAAATAAGCTCATCAGATGATTGTCATCATCAACTTTATAATCAAAATAAAAATCTGGATCACTCTTCTGCCTCTTCAGCATGAGATCTAGAACTGTCCTTGCATCACCTTCTGCGATTCTTGACCTCTTGTTCTTAGAACAATAGTTGCAAATATCCTTAGTAACAATGCCATATGCCAACTTTGTCATATCCTCCATATCTACATTGAAGAACATCTCTTATGACATACTTACGGATTCCAACAGCTTCCATTGACATGATCTTATTTCTATGGAAATCCTTACTCTTCCGGTGAGACTATAGAAACAGAACTTCATCAGGCATAGCTAGGCGATGTTTAAGCTCATCCACAAAATTATTCACGTACCATACGCCACGAGATTTGCCATCTCGCTCCCCTTCTCTACAACACACAAACTTTCTCCTTTCTAACACTGAAGCCCTTGTCCCTCGCATAATTATTATGGAATGTGAAAGCCTCATCTTCACTTGCAAAAGTCTCATTTGCTATGCTCCAGAACTCATCCATTTTTTTTGTACCGGTCCCCAACATCTGCTTGTTCTTCTGAACATTTGCTTGTCATAACCAATATTGCCAGCTTCCTGCAAATCAAAATGGATAATGTTTCGCTCAATACTTGACATCAAACATTACTAAATCGGACATCATCAGTTGCAGGAAAAACTGATGTTGTTATTGATTTACCTTTCCATAGTTGGACTCGTCACCGGCAGCGGCAGTTATCTCCTCCTCCCCAGATATTTTCTTGTTGTCAAGCAGTAAAACAGTGTGGTTTCACAGTACCACAAGATCAACGTACAGGATCCTCCCCGGATAGAGAATTGTTGGACAGATTAAGAAATTTCAGCGACCTCAGCTGGCCCAGACCGGAAGGTATGTCACCGCTGAAATTGTTGCCGGACAACGAGAGAAATTTTAGGTTCTTGAGCTCCGCGAGGCCTGAGGGCAGCCGACCGTGGAGCAAGATGCCGCTGAGATCCATCCAGATGAGGCCCCTACAATGGAGGTGCTCCGGCGGTATGCCGCCGGTGAGCCTGTTCTTGGACGGGTCCAGAACCCGGAGCCGCACGAGCTCCCCAATCCGCGGCGGGATGGTTCTAGCCAACGGATTGGAGGACAGGCACAGGCGTCGGAGCTGCGTATGCCGGTGGCACGGACGGGCAGCTCCTGCGGCCGGTCTCGCGGCGAGGCGCGGGCGGTGGCGTCCCGCGGCCGGTAGCGCGGCGGGGCGAGGACCCAGTTGTTAAATAATATAAAATAATTTATTTCTTTAATTGGCTGCTTTGGGATTCGTGCCATTTTTAGAAAAGGAAGTACTGCGGCAGTACCCTTATTACAGTTCTGAACTAAACCCTTTTTTCGTACTCTGCCACACGTAAACAGTCATAAAATGCGCGCTGTATAATAATTTGGCATAAAACACGTACATGCACTCACATCGATGATCAGATATATATGCGCGTATATCATCCATATGAGCAACTCCGATCTGAAAGACTAAGCTGGCACTGTAAGGCTCCCTAGGGCGAAGGAAACACGCTAGCTAGACCGGCTTTGCTAGGCAGAACGGTTCCAATCTAGTGTTATGGTTAGAGCCAGCTAGCAATGACGATATGTGTTACGCCTTTGCTACCACTAGTGGTATGTCCGTGCTAACGCTACGGTAAAAACTAAAAGACAGAATTTTTCTACGCAGCAGCTGGGCTAAATCTCTCCCTAATTAATGCTAGCCCAAGCCTAACAACTCTTTGGCTAAATGTGTCCCAAATGCTAGCACAAGCCTCAAACTTCTCTTGGGCCGAAGCCACCCCGTGGCCTAGCTCCCACCTCTCCCCCTCTCCCTCTCCGCACATGGGCCAAGCCCATCGTCGGCCTCCTGAAAGGTCCTAATGGCTAGAGGGGGTGAATAGCCTATTAAAAATTTCTAAAACAACACTTAACAAATCGGTTAGACAATTATGAGGCGAAGCGAGTGTTGCGCTAGCCTACTAAAAATGCAAGCCACCTACCACAATTCTAGTTAATGTAGTTTCTATCCACACAATAACTATGTCACTACACTAAGTTAGTGTGTTCTCAAAGTTTAACTAAAGAGCCACACTAACCAAACTAACAAGCTCTCACAACTAACTACACTAAAACGCTTGACAACTAGTTTGCGGTAATGTAGAGAGAGTGAGCAAGATGGTTATACCGCCGTGTCGAGGAATGAGCCAATCAATCACAAAAATGAATACCAATGAAGACCAATCACCTCGGAATCAAATGATGAACACAATGATTTTTTACCGAGGTTCACTTGCTTGCAGGCAAGCTACTCCTCGTTGTGGCGATTCACTCACTTGGAGGGTCACGCGCTAATTGGCATCACACGCCAAACCCTCAATAGGGTGCTGCACAACCAACACAAGATGAGGATCACACAAGCCACGAGCAATTCACTAGAGTACCTTTTGGCTCTCCGCCGAGGAAAGGTTAAGAACCCCTCACAATCACCACGATCGGAGCCGGAGACAATCACCAACCTCCGCTCGACAATCCTCGCTGCTCCAAGCCGTCTAGGTGGTGGCAACCACCAAGAGTAACAAGCGAATCCTGCAGCGAAACACGAACACCAAGTGCCTCTAGATGCAAACACTCAAGCAATGCACTTGGATTCTCTCCCAATCTCACAAAGATGATGAATCAATGATGGAGATGAGTGGGAGGGCTTTAGCTAAGCTCACAAGGTTGCTATGTCAATGCAAATGGTCAAGAGAGTGAGCTTGAGCCGGCCATGGGGCTTATATAGAAGCCCCCACGAAATAGAGCCGTTGTACCCCTTCACTGGGCACAACATGGGGAGACCAGACGCTCCGGTTAGATCGACCGGAAGCAGGACCCCAGCGTCCAGTCGTGCGATGTACGCCACGTGTCCCCTCTCTTCAAATACTGAGCGCCCGATCCCAACGGTCAAGTGATGACCGGACGCGCTGCTGTGAAGTGACCGGACGTTGGACCTCAGCGTCCGGTCGTTTGCAGTAAGCATCCAGAACTGAAAAATCACGACCGGACGCGTCCGATCACTCGGCGTCTCCTCTGTGCGCTGCCACGTCAACAGGACTAGACGCACCCCATCAGTGTCCGGTGACAAAGTGACCCAACGTCCGGTCAAAGACCGACGCCAGTGTCCTCACACTTCCACTGACTGGACGCACCAGTCCTACCGAGACCAGCGTTCGGTCACTTACAGTGACCCCCATCTTTTCTGTATAGGGCGCTGGTGGCACCGTCGGACTGTCCGCACTCTACGGGCGGACACTCCGCCGGTGAAGTTTCTAACCCTTTCTCAAATGTGCCAACCACCAAGTGTATCACCTTGTGCACATGTGTTAGCATATTTTCACAAACATTTTCAGGGGTGTTAGCACTCCACTAGATCCTAAATGCATATGCAATGAGTTAGAGCATCTAGTGGCACTTTGATAACCGCATTTCAATACGAGTTTCACCCCTCTTAATAGTACGGCTATCGATCCTAAATGTGATCACACTCACTAAGTGTCTCGATCACCAAAACAAAATGGCTCCTACCATTTATACCTTTGCCTTGAGCCTTTTGTTTTTCTCTTTCTTCTTTTCAAGTCCAAGCACTTGATCATCACCATGGCATCACCATCATCATGTCATGATCTTTATTTGCTTCGCCACTTGGAATGTGCTACCTATCTCATGATCACTTGATAAACTAGGTTAGCACTTAGGGTTTCATCAATTCACCAAAACCAAACTAGAGCTTTCACCTCCAACATCCCTCCCAAGCTCAAAGGTCACCTGGTGACCCACTCCCTCCTCCCCGCCTCCCCCACTCCCCCTCTCATCTAGGCCACGATCGGCCAAAGTCCATCACC